GTTATGTTGTGGTAATCAATAACAGGTTCATATAGTGTATTTGGGAGAGAAGCAACATGAGAATCCCGAGTTTGTCAAAGAATCTCATCATGAAATGTTGTGGTCACTTCTTGGAAGATACGTTGGAGTAGCTTCTCCCTTGTTATAATTTCTCAATTTTGTATACTTTTTTTTTATTCTTTAGAACTCTTCATGAATATCATCATTAAACATACAAAAATTATAAATCTTTTAATGAGTCTCAAAGATTAAAAAATTATTAAATTTAATATTAAATTAATCTTGGTGATATCTACATGGTATCACCAATAATGATACTCTAAGTATTTTAAAGTCTGTTGTTTGAGAGATTTATTTCTCTCTCCTCATTTTTTATTTATTTTCTTGTTTTTATTGTTGAGATACCCATTTGATCTCTACAATACCAATGGATATGCATGCTCTCGAAGACTCAAAACTTCAAATTTCGATTATGCAACTAGTACTAGATTGAATAGGTGAAAAGACTTAGGGGATTGCAAATTGTACTGTCGACATTGCTCATATCGACTGATATAAACACTAACGAGTAAACCATGAAAATATTGATGGCAGGCCAAACCAAATAATGAGATTTATAATTCTTGAATACCTCTCTAACATAGCAAATTTGAGAAACCATTCGAAAGACTGATTGAAGACAAACTCATGCTATAGCTACTACACCAAAATATAAATTCTAATGTCATGGTTTACTCGTTAATGTTTATATGACATTTTACGTTTTTCTGTATAAAAAATCAAGTAAAATAAAAAACTTTATAAGTATCAAATTTTATTTTTTAATAGACAAAAATACCCATGCATTAATCATCCATCCCTCATAGTCATACCGACACAAAACATGAAAACAACATACTCATTAGGAAAAACAACAAAAAAGAGACATCATACAATCAATCATTGTATCGTCAATAATGCAAAACATTACAACTATACTCAACAGTAGCATCTCCTGACTTTTGATCAAACCACATGGTCCTAGCCTCAACATAACCTCTAGCGAACCTGAAGAGTCCACTTCCTCCAATCACCGGCATCTCTCTAACCTTGGTCAACACAGCGTTCCGACCAAGAATCGAGATCGTACTTCCGTTATACTTCCCTGTCTTAAACGCAAAGTTCATCACCATAAGCGCAGACGCATCGCGTTGACCAGTAGCAGCGTAGATCCCTTGAGCCTGACCCACTAAAGTAGAGTTCACCGAGACCTCCGTAGTTAATCGGTTATCGATCGCAGTGACCGCTCCGAAGAAGGTAGAGTTGGAGAGAGGAGGTCGGATCACGACCGAGCTAGGGTTTGAGCCACTTAGGATGTCGTGCCAGTAGACACGGAAAAAAGTGAGTTTCTCCTTACGAAGACCAAAGTGTTTTCGGTTAATGGTTTTCGCAAAGTCTTCGCCTTTTCCAGCGTTGACAATGGCTGCGAGGAGGAGGATTTGAAAGGCGATGATGAGTATAAGCTTTGCCATGTGTGTTGATTGTGGTATGTGTTTTATGTCTCGTTAATGGTGTGTGTATATATAGACCGTATACAGTAGAAGAAGTAGGAGAGGACATGTTGATATTAATATATTTATCACAAAAACATGGGTGGAATCAAATTTGAATTTTATATGCGCCATAAGTCGTGTTCGCTGGCCGACGAAAGGAACAAAAAGAAAAAATAAAGTCGTATGATAACAAATTCTTA